ATTCGATTTTGTGTTGGGAAGTAAACAAATCGATTTTCAGTTGACTGAGCTGTCCATCGAAAGTCCATATTTTTTGTTGAAGACAATTCGAAATCTATAGATTAAATGTTTTTTACAAGTTTTCCGACTCAAAACTTCCCAAAAAACATAGCCTTTTAGGAACAATGTCAAAGGATGAAATATTCTTGATTACATTTCATTGAAAACAGGGTGAGATAAAAAAACTGCAACAAAGTCAAAGGGCATAATGTTTAACTTTTTTAATATTTTGTTGTTGCAAAATGGTCAGGTTTAATCCCTTTATTGTTGTTTTTTTTTATAAAAACAACGTTCATTTATTAGTGGAAAACGATGGTTTTTTAATATATATTGAAACCAAAAAAGGCGGAAATAGCATCAAAGTTTAGATTTGTTCGAATTGGTCACCTTTGATATGAATGTGGATTAAATTGTGTAGGTTTGTAGATCGAAATCCCAAAAGAAATAAAATTGAGGAGTGAGTGGGAGCTAAATTCGTTCGAAATCGAGTATATTCTACTCTTGTAGAGAACACTTAGTTTTTGTTGTTTCGTAGGTTCCCCTGTCGTCAACTCGTCAATAAAGAAGCCAAACTAAATTTTTGTGTTCGTCTATTAAGAAAACTCCCTGACTTCAGATCGGGTATTACGAAGGCTACCCATTTCAGTTTGTCTATAGAGAAGACTCCCTGTCTCCAGCACTTTTATAAAGAAGAGGACTCTCTAACCTAAGTTCGTCTATAAAGAAAAGGACTTCCTGACCTCAGCTCGTTCATGAAGAAGACAAACTGACCTCATCTCGTCAGTAAAGGAGACTCCCTGACCTCAGCTTATCTCTGAACAATACCCCCGGACGTTAGCTTTTCTACAAAGTAATCTCCCTAACGCAAGCTTGTTTGTAAAGAAGACTCTCTGGCTTCAGTTCGTCTATAAAGAAGAGGACTTCTTGACCTCAACTCGTATGGAAGGAATAGTACTCCCTGACTTAAACTGGTCTAAAAAAATCACTGACCTCAGCTCGGCTACAATGAAGAGGACCTCCCTGACATTAGCTCCCAAATGAAAATGAGCAAAATTTAAGATAGTGTTTTGAAATGTAATAATGCTATATGAGGCAAAATAGGCCTAACAAAATGTCTCCTAGAATAGGATTAGTTAAAAATGAGAAGTTAATGGCGTTGATAATTTAATAGTTTTTAGAGCGTATGAAAATTAAAAATCGAAAAATACTTATAGTGGCTAAAGAGCAATACCGAAAAGAGAAAAGAGATCCTTTAGAATATTAAACTAGTTCGCATCTTTTCACCAACTACTACCCCTAGTATTAAGATAGAAGTTTATGTGTTCAACTCATAGGTCTATCTATATATCCTTATGCTCCTCTCTGTTCCTATTTGAACTCATTTCAGATGTTTCACCATTCTTTCCTACCCTTGTTGTAAAATTTCCCCATCCCTATTCCTTGAACAATAATAAATTAAGGTCATACATTTGTTGTTTGTAAATCTTTGTTCATGTCCTGTTTGTTTTTTGCTTCTTCCTTAAGAGGTTTCGTGTAAGATTTGTTGCAATCAACTATTTAGTTTCCATTTTCTTGCTGTTGTTGTTGTTGCTTTTGCTGTTGTTTTTCGTTTAAGTGCCTGTTGCACTTAAACTACATTCATACTTAGGGAGAGTTTTGTAGGGTAGATGGGGAATATACACATGTAGGACGACATACGTCAATGTGCCTGACTTGCCTATACACAAAAAGAGTTTAAACATGATTATGTTTAAAAGTGTGTAAATACCCAGCAAACAAAGTCATAAGGGTTCAGATATATATAGGGGGAATGAGGAAATTTTGGGTTAAATTCTTGTTGGGAAATGTAGAATAATTTCTGTAGGCATAAAGTTATAAAAGCGATATCTTCTAAAAAGAATTTTGACAATAAATACACTAGTTAATGGAATTCGTTAAGAAGTTCGTTCTGATTTTGCGATACATATATCGATATATCGGTCACCCAACAATTAGTTGGTTGGGTTTGCTATGTTGTACATACATGCAATGTTGTGTATTATAGCACTTTTATACCGGATGTAAATAATTGTTGAAGAAAAACTAGAGATTGAGTTCCGTTTTAAGACATTTTGAAGTTGGTTTCAAAGACTTTATTTCGGCCGCAGATTTCTTTTCATTTTCGATGGAGGCTAAGCTTTTGAAGTTTTCTTTCTTCCAAAAATCCATCACAGAGATATACACAATTTAAGATTTGTGTTTGTATTGAAGCTATTGACAATTTGTTGTGGCCCCTTTCTTTTCTTTTCATTTTTTTTTTTGGATAACAAAAATTGGAATTGCGATTCCCATTTTATACACAAAAAATCAACTTGACAGATGTACGTTTCAGTATTTGTTGTTGTTTTTTTTCTGTATTTTTTGGCTTTTACTCGTGTACATTTTGAAAACATTTTTATACACCGATTTGTTGTGGTTGTTGTTCTTGTTATTATTGTCAATGACGTTGCCGTCGCACTCACTTTCTGAATTGGAATGAATCTGTTTCAATTTGCTAGAGATTGAAGAGGGGGAATTTCTTGTTCGTCTTCTTCTTCATATCTTAAGCACTATTGCCTTTATTTTTATTTTCTCTAGTTCTACTTATAGTTGTTGGTTTTGTTCTTTTCTTTTTTTTCTTTTTTCTTCCCGTCTATAGAAGATTTTTGTATGTTAAGTGGTGCACATCGTATTTTAATTCATTCATTCATAAATTCTTTCGTGGCGTTTCATTTTTTGTTTTAATTTTTTTATGTATCATCGATAAGACAACACTTGCCTCCAGATTTGGTAACTGGGGGGAAATTGTAATATATATTTTTAGTTTTTTTTTTATTTAAATTCAATAGGAAAGTAATAAAAAGCGGAGATTTTAAATTTGGAATTCTTAATATGGTTCGTCGGATTTCCTCTAGCATCGCTGATAGTCCATGACATTAACAAGATTGATATTTGTTACACCGATTCTGCCACCGCAGCAAATGCTTGAATTTCTAGTAATATGAAAATTTAAAATTTACAGTCGTGAAATAAAAAAAAATTGTCCAAGAAGATTTTTTCTAACCAATGGAAGTAAAAAGCTTCAAGATTGCACCATTTTTTATTTTTAAAATTTTATAGTTCCTTAATGGCAGAGAATCCTATTTATAGATGAGCTCAGGTCTAGTTGAGTCCAGGGAGTCTTCTTTGTAGACACTCTGAGGTCAGGGAGTCTTCTTTGTAGACCCTCTGAGGCCCGGAAGCCTTCTTCATAGACGAGCTGAGACGATGGAGTGCTTTTCTTTATAGATGAGTTGAGGTCAGATAGTCTTCTTTATAGACGAACTGAGGTCAGTCAGTCTTCATCACATGCGAGCTGAAGTCAGGGAGTCTTCTTTATATCTGAGCTGAAGTCGGGGAGTCTTTTTCATGGACGAGCTAACTTCAAGGAGATTTTTCATAGATGAGCTGAGGTCAGGGAGTGTTCTGATGGTAGGGAGTTTTCTTTGTAGACTGGCTTAGATACGAAAATCTTTATAGATGAACTGAGGTCAGGTTTATTGACTAGAGACACAGTTAGTCTTCATCATATCCGAACTGAGCTCAGTTAGCCTTCATCATATCCGAGCTGAAGTCCGGTAGTCTTATTTATATGTGAGCTGAAGTCGGGAATCTTTGCATGAACTACCTTCAAGGAGTCTTTTTCATAGATGAGCTGAGGTTTAGGGTGTGTTCTGATGGTAGGGAGTTTTCTTTGTAGACTGGCTTAGATACGGAAATCTTTATAGACGAACTGAGTTCAGGTTTATTGACTAGAGACACATGAATTCGGAGAGTCTTTTTTTATAGATAATTCAATGCTAGGGATTCCCCTTCTTTAAAGAAGACCTGGTCTTCTCTACAAATATGCTGAAATTGGGGGCCTTCTTGATAGACGATTTAAGGTCATAGAATCTTCTTTTTAGACAAGTTGATTTCAGGAAGTTATGTTGGCTTCTTTATTGACGTGTTGACGACAGTGACATCTATGAAAACTTTCTGTCATGGCATGTTTGCCACACTTTTTATGGGATTGTGCTTCGGTAAGTCTATATGGTTCATCCCAGGTCTATTTGGGGCATTAGCCTAGTCTTTAAGATTGTCGGCTCCCGGGTTTTTGTTGTTGTCGTTATCGTTGCAGCCAACAAAGCTGTAGCGTTGGGGTTAAAATCTGGTTTTAAGTTTGGAATTTCATCCATCCCATGGGAGAGATATTACTTTGAAGTTTTCCTCGCGAGCTTTACCTTCAACCGAAGAGACGGCCTATCGGAGCAAAGACCTACAGAAACTAAAACTTGAATTCAGAGAATTGCATGTCTTTGTCCAAAGTTTTTTGATCACTGCGGAGTCGTCCACATAAAGTCCCCAAAGGAGATCCTCTACTTTGAGTCTTACAACCATTTCGTCTCCCCATGATATGTCGTCTTAGCAGTCATTGTAGTCGTATTTCTAGAAATTTAAAAGATAAGGTGTTTAGGTAGAATGTCAATAAGTTGCAATTGCTTGTTTAGCTCTTCAAGCAATAACTGGTACATGTACATTTAAATCCGGAATCTCTCCTCAGACTTAGCACCTATGCGCGGCAACTTATTTAGATTCGCCTAAGAGCCATATATTTATCTCACAACACGCAATTTCTAGTTAGATTCGTCACTGCTCAAATATATTTTTTTATAGATGACAAAGCATAAAATACATAAAAATACACATCTTTAACCCTTATGACTAGAACTGCACAACTTTTCATACCAGGTGTTTCTTTTAAGGTACCAGATCTACTTTTGTGACTTCTAAATTAAAATGTCTTTAAATTAAATTAAAAAAAACTTTTAGAATATAGAAAACTTCTTACTAGAAGAATATTTGTTGACCCTTCTTAACATGACCAATACTAAACTTTCCATTATATTTCTCTTTCATTGCAGCGCTTGGAGTTTGACCGTGAAGGATTAACAAAACTGAAAAAAGCAGTCAAGGCCATACACAATTCAGGAAATAGTAAGTATTTTTAAAACAAAAATACAAAATCCACCTCCAGCGAAATTAACCACCCCTCCACCATCACCATACCTCCTATATATATTAAAGTGCAATGTATGTGTCTCTAAATTGAGTAGTAACAAGTGGGTAAAGCGTGTGTGCAAGCATATTGTTGCATGCCAAACATAGCCATGGTTGCAACGACAATCTATCCAACTCAACAACACATCAACACCACCACCGCCACCTGCAACAACTTGTTATGGTATAGTTAGATAACTCATACAAGTATGGATTTTTTTATTTATTTTCAAATACTCCTTGTAGCACAGATACACACTAACACATATACTAAAGCGAACAACGAGGCATCCACTCACTCACTCGACCCAACTACAAACAATTTCCAATGTAAAATGTGCACACATGTTACAGTGAAAAAATCAGAGAAGAACTTTTAAGATGAATTTTGAAAAGCAAGGATATTCTTAGGCCTCTAGGCGGCAATTCCTTCTTCCACCGACCCAATAGTCTGCTATCAACAAACTCGCAAATTGAGAACAAAAATGTCATTTATGTCGCACATCTTGTGACATTTTCCTTCTTCACGACACTGTCTCCTGTCCTCCTGTCATAAACTAATTTCCATAAAATACTTAACACAATCTATACCCCAACCCAACACTACCACCACCAACCACAACACCTTGTTCGACGATGTACGGCTTAATTGCTTTACCATTCCAAGAATACCCCACATGCCCTTTTAAGAGTTAATTAATTTACAACTTATCCTCATTCATTTATTACAGCTCATGTCGACAATGAAATGTTTCTGGTGAGGGCCCTTGAACGTCTCGGCGGCAAGGTAATCGATCAGGATGAACCTGATATAGGAGCGGCATTCCTTAAATTCTCAGTGGTGACAAAAGAGTTGAGTGCATTAATGAAGACATTGGTAAGTATGGCATCCGTTATTCTTACCCTCTTCTGAGCTAATTGTTTTTTCTTTCTTTTCTCCGCCCAGATGCAAAATATCAACAATATTGTCATGTTTCCGGTCGATTCAATGTTGAAAAGTGAGCTACGTGGTGTCAAGGGCGACATGAAGAGGCCCTTCGACAAGGCTGCCAAAGACTACGAAGCGAAATTCATTAAAATCGAAAAGGAGAAAAAGGCCCAGGCCAAAGAGGCGGGTATGGTGCGAACAGAAATCGATGCTGCTGTTGTGGCCGATGAAATGGAAAAAGAACGTCGACTATATCAGTTACAGACCTGTGAAGTATGTAAACAGTTCATGGAAATTTTCGCGTTATTCGTTTAATTTTCGTATTTACATGTAAACACAGTGGGATGGAATTTTCCGGCACAATAGCTTTTATCGAAAGCAGTTTAACAACAAACAGTTGTATGAAAATTATTCGGAGGATATTTTTTTCAATACGAAACAAAAAATTTAACGCATAGTTGAAATGCCACATTTTAGAAGTTTATGAACACATTATTTTTACCAGGGCATGTCCTACGAAACAAGTAACCATACAAATCGATTATTTAAGTACTTATTGAAAGACTTTAACCAGGGAGTCTGTTTCATAGTCGACCTGTGAGGTCAGGAAGTCTTTTATAGACGAGCAGAGGACAGTTAGACTTTTTATACACCAGCTGAGGCCAGGGAGTCCTCTTCAAAGAGAGCTGAGGTAAGGGAGACTTCCATACGAGCTGAGGCCAGGTTGTCTTCTTTATAGAAGATATGAGGTCAGGGAGACTTTTGCAGACGATCTTAGGTCAAGCAGTTTTTCTACATAGATGAGTTGAGGTCAGGTAGTATTCTACTACTATTCAGGTAGTATAGACGAGCTGGGAATTGTTCTATACAGACGAGCTGAGCCCAGGCAATCTTCTTTATAGACGAGCAGAGAGTCTTCTATAAGGACGAACTGACGTCAGGAGACTTTTGTTACGGACGACCTCAGTTTTAGGAGTCTTCTTTACGGACGAGCTGAGGTCAGGGAGACTTCTTTACAGACGAACAGGGTGCTGTGTCTTCCCTATAGATGAGCTTCTACAAAAGTGAGTCTTCTTCATAGACCTTCCGAAGTAAGCGATTCCAATGGTTAAAATAGGTTTTTGAGGAAGAACTACTGTTGCCAAAGAAATTCCATTGACTATATCTATCGAAATGTTCTTAGAACGTTTTTTCATAGAAAAGTTAATAAAAAATTAATGATTCCCAAAGAAGAGTTGTTGAAAAGTAACTTTTCTTAAAGTAAAGCTGATGAAAGGATATTTTTCTCAAAAAAGTGTAGGCGAAAGGCAACGTTTTCCATGGCAGAGTTGTTGGAGGGCAACTTCGCTCAGAGAAGAGTTGGCAGAAGGCCATCTTCATATATGTGATATATATTTATATGGGACAATCATTGGAAGTCAATTTTCCAATAGAAGACTTAATCAAATGAAACGCTTTCAACAGAAAAGTTGTTGGAAGAAAATTTTTTAGGGAGAAAAGCTTTTTCTGTAGAACAGTTGTTGAAGGACAGCTTTTCCTATAAAAAAAACTGCTGAGATAAAACTTTTTCATAGCAAATATTTTAAAAGACATCTTTCCTATAGAAAAATTATTTGAGGACATTTTTCCTATAGAAAAGTTGGTAGAGAACAGTTTTTCCTACAGAAAAGTAGTAGGAACACGTATTTTCATATAGAAAAGTTGTTGGAGAACCGGGTTTTTCATAGAATAATTGTTGGGAAACATATTTTGCTGTAAAAATCCTAGCCTAGCACAGGTTTTCCCATAAACAATTTTTTGGAACACAAGTTTTTTCGTAGAAAATTTGTTGAAACACATCTTTTCCTCTAAATAAACTTTTAGAAGGCAGATTTTCCCTCAGAAAAGTTGCTTGCAGGAATTGTTTTTGTAACTCTTTCAAATGTAGATTTGAGAATTTTGTCTTAAGAACATTTTTTGGAACGTAACTGTTAATAAAAGTCTTTGATGGACAACTTTTCTATAATAAAATTTTAAGGGATAACTTTTTTTTTTTAAATTTGTTGAGGAAACAACTCTATAATACATCTTTTCTTTTCTCAATGTTTAAAATAACCTTGGCCCACACCATTTTATAGACAAATTGTTGTACTTTTTTCTATATCGCTCCCAATTGTTATTCGCATTTTTTTGTTTCACATTAAATTTCCTCCCATTGTGTGTGTCTCTCCCCATCTGTCCATCCATCACCGCCATCAGTCGATTACATTATTATCCATTAATGTAATATAAGCTGGACAAATTTTTGCCCATCTCCTCTCTCATTTCCTGTATTGTGTGCAAAAACACACAGTACACATTGTTTACCTTCCTTTTTTTGTTTGTTTATTTATTTTTTGCATTTAAATTCGTTGTTGCTCTTATTGGGCTTTTTGTTTATTTTCTTCTTTTTCTTTTTTTCTTTCCAGTATTTATTGAAATATAAGGAAATCAAAACAAAAACTGGCATCGAACTGCTGCAGCATTTCATCGAATACTATCATGCTTTGAATAAGTAAGTATGTTGCCTGCTATACAATACGGTACGATACGATGCGAATCAATTCGATATGATGTATTGAATGTTGTTTATTGTTATGGATATCATTGGTTGTTTTTTTTTACATTCATCTCTGATTATGGAACGTTGCCACTCTTGGTTGGCATCTAAAAGATAAAATAAATGCGACAATAATTTAAGTCCATAGCAATCATCACACCAGCGCAATCTCAATTTCAATCTTCCTGTGTAACGTAGACAAATAAGTGACGATCTATTGCATAGGCAACATTCAAAGTATGTGTGTCTGCTACAGGTTTATCGCATAAAGTGTCCATATGTCTTACCTTATATATCAAGTGCATGATTTGAATAGTAAAATTTAAGCCGGCTGTTCTTCAATGACACCACCAATTATACCGGGTGATTGAAACTGAGGTGGGCGTATTGCGTCTGGTATTTTGGCTGTGGGAGGCAAGAAATAAATTGAGATGTTATTGAGCTTAAATACGTCTTTACTTAGGCTTGGAAGGGCATTTTTCTTATAGAAAAATTGTGAGAAGACTACATTTCTCATAGAGGAAGACTGCCTTTCTGATAGAAGAATAAGTTTTTTCTATATAAACTCAAACTTGATTAAATTAAAAATTTCGATGCAAAACTTAATATTGAAATTTTGATTTTGTTAATCAATAAGTCCCATGCAAAATTAATTTCGATCGAAAATTTTCGATATCGAATCAAATAATTTGTTTTTAGTATTCTGATAAAAAATATTTTGAAAGCCCGAATATAACGGTACCGCTCGATATTCGGTATTTTGATGATTTTTGCCACATTTCCCACAAATTTGTCCAAAAATATGGGGAAGCAATTTTTCCTATAGAAAAAATGTTTCATGGCAAATTTTTCCATAGAAACGCTAGCCGAAGACACCTTTTTCTGTAGAAAAGTAGGGTGAAAGCAACTTAGTTTAAATTAAATACGTTGGAAGTTTAATTTTCCATTCAACAATTTTGGATGGCAAACTCATATTGAAAACTTGCTAACAAATATTCCATTAACCACAACTCTTTTAACTTCATCCCCACAGCTATTTCAAAGATGGCCTCCAAACGATCGAACATTTCGGAACATATATCAGTGATTTAAGTGATAAATTGCATAAAATTAAACAGCGCCAGGATGAAGACCGTCGCAGCCTCTTAGAATTGCGAACACTGCTGCGGAGCACACCCGATTTTGAACGTGTGGAAAATGTACCCACCGACAAGGGTGGAGGTGGAACGGGTTATTCACTGCATCAGCTGCAGGGTGATAAACATCATGGTGTTACACGTTCCGGCCATCTATTGAAGAAAAGCGAAGGGAAAGTGCGAAGAGTTTGGCAAAAACGAAGATGTCGGGTGACCAGTGATGGATTTCTTGACATATGCCATGCCGATGAAACCAAACCGCCGACAAGAGTAAATTTGCTGACATGTCAAATCAAACCGGTACCGGATGATAAACGAGGCTTTGATTTAATCAGTTGTAAGTATTATCCCACCAAATATGTGCTTTGATGGAGTGATATGTTAATTAATTATGTTCCTTTCTGTGCAGACAATCGTCCATATCATTTTCAGGCTGAAGATGAATCCGATCAAAAAGCTTGGATGGCTGTTTTGGTGAATTGTAAAGAAAAAGCTTTAGCTAAAGCATTCCAGCATGCAAATCCCCAAATGAGTCCAAGTTTGGTGGAACTACAAAAGACTGTTATCAGGTCTGTCCCAAGTGCTGCAAAAGTATTTTAATTTTTATTAAAGTTTTTGGGGTTTGGTTTAATTTTCAGATACGTCCAATTATTGCCAGGCAATGATCAATGCTGTGACTGTGGCTCACGCAATGATGTCACCTGGATAAGTCTGAATTTTGGTATTCTTGTTTGTATTCAATGCTCCGGTGTCCATCGGGATCTTGGCGTCCACCATTCACGGATACAAAGTCTGACACTGGATAATCTAACAACAGCCAATCTATTGATAGCTCGTGCCATGGGTAATCATGCTTTAAATGAAATAATGGAAGCCACACTGGGCAAGGGCAAACTAACACCGGATAGTACAATGTAAGAATGCTAATTTAGAAAGTTTAAGCCATTTTTTTATAGAGAAACTTATATAAGTTAACATTACACAAAAAGCTGCAAAGAAACCTTCATAGCCTAGTATGTTATAGCATATTGGCTGTTCAGGCTAATCTTCTATAAAATAGTACTTAGATGGAAGTTACATTGTCCATTAACAACATGCGTAGTGTAAAGAATGTTAAATTAGAATAATTAATAACACAATTTTTCACTAAGTTGTAAGCAACGGAAAAAGACGTTAAATAGTAACTTTAATTACATACAAGTTGTCGAGAAGCTTTTTTTGATGGAGAAAAGTATTTGGGAAATAACCACCTTTTCCAATAGAAAATTTCATTTCCAACTTCTTTTGTCCGCAGGGAACAACGATACGATTTTATACGTGCCAAATATGTGGCAAAACGATATGTGATGCGTACATGTGCCGATGAGAATGATTTACGCTGTGATCTTGAACAGGCCGTGGTTAATGCCGATATGAGTCAACTGCTGCAAGTGTGGGCAGAGGGTGCAGATCTCACATGTTGCTTACCCTCGTGGGATGATGGTGTTACGGCACTGCATCTGGCTGTCCTTCGGGAAACTGGATGTACGCTGCATATTGTTGATTTCCTTATACAGAATATGCCACCAAAAGGTTTAAATAAAGTCACAAATCCACCCAGTATATTGAATGTGACGGGTAAAAATACGGCGTTGCATTTGTGTGCGGCACACGATAAGCGTGAGTGTATAAAGCTTCTGCTGCGCTCCGGAGCCGATTATGAGATACGTAATTCCCAGAATAAAACCGCTTTGGACATAGCCAAAGAAATGGGCCATAATGTGTGTAAGGAATTGGTAAGTAAAAAATGTGTTTTCAATTAAATTGACATTATTAATGAAGTACTGAAAATTTCATTTCAGATTGAGTGTGCCATGCGACGTGAGAAAAGTGCTTTCGATCACATCAATACAGATTGGAATCTGCCAAACGAAGATGGCTCAACAGATTTTTCGGATGATGATACGGTTATCGATGAGCGTGTAAGTTTTTTTTTTTAATTTCTTTGAACGTTTTCATAATTGTCGTTTCTTCAATTTATCTCCAGAAGCGTTCACGTCCTCCCAGTTTTGCCGGCGGTGATTCACCGGTATTACGTTCACGTTCCTCAACTTGTGATTCAATACAAAGTAGTTCTAGTCCTATTGCAAATTGTCCCAGTCGACAATTCACCCTGCCCATGTATCAACAATCGGCAGGCACATCGCCCAAACAGCAAATGTCTTTGGGCCAATATTTGGGCAGTGCTGGTAACATTAATGCTGCAGTAGCTGCTGGAGTTGTTGGTAGTGGTAGCGGCGTCGGGGTTGGTGGTGGTGGTAGTAGTAGTGCCGTTGGCGGCGGTGGTTCAAGTCCCAGTTCAGCCTCAAGCCAAAGTGGCCGTCTGGCAAGAAGTAACAATGAGTTCGGTGGAGGAGCTAGAAAATCAACATCCACAGGTGAGAATGACTAACTTCAACTGAAGGAGATCTTAAAGGGAAGCAGTTATGTAAGGTGTTGAAAAGTAATTTTATGAAGGAAACCATTAGTGTCACGTATATTACATATTCTCCTATATACATACCCCTGAGGATTTTCAATTTAAAGAACAGCACTTCCGTCCGTAGTTTCGGGATAACCTTTTCAAAAAAATCTTTAGAAAGCCTTCAGTGTTTATTATTGTCAAAGAATTCTTTGCCAATTTTTCCTACTAAATAAAAATCGTGGACTTTAAAAACAAATTTCAAAAACCTGCTGATTTCATTTTCAAGAATATTTTTTCATTATTATTTATTTAAGAATTTTCAAGATTTCTTAGCCAGAAATTGTAGTCGATTTCTAGGTCCTCCTTGCCTATTTATTTATTTTTTTAAGAGACTAATAATATATTTACTATTTTTTAACTTCTTATTTTGATTAACAATTCTTCTCATTCCCTTTACAGCCAATATGAACTCGTTAAAGAAACGAGCTCCGGCACCGCCACCCGGTACAACATCATCAAATTTTTATGGTACATTACCACATCCGCCTAGGCATTCACAAAATTTCGATACAAATGACATACGAACGCACAATCATAAAAATCAATCAATGGATCCAGCTTCATATGGTACCCTGCCGCTACTGCGTTCCGTCGACAGCAGTCCACGTATTATGGGTGGCGGCGGCCACAATAGTTCAGCATCACATGGTGGTAGCTTTTATGAGCGTATTGATAAGTTGGTTGTCTCCCAGGATCCAAATGGTGGTCCCACAACGGCAGGGCATCACATTATGCCGGCCATGACAACATTTGGTCACAAACGTTCGCCCAGTGGAGAATCATTAAATCGGAATTTACACTTGGCCGGAGCCAAGCTTGTACTGCCGCCAGCTGGAGAAATACCCACATTAAAGCATGTAGATAAATCGGCATTGTCAAGACCAAAAATACCACCGCCAGGTCCACCTGCAGGTAAATATATTTTATTCCGTACTCTCCTTGGAACCTTAGATTATTAATTTTGAATACTTTCTTAGAACGTGAAATATCTAACGGCCAATCAAATGAAAGTATCAGCTCAATCGATGAAGGACCCATTGCGCCACCCCGAAAGGTAAGTCCACTTCTAGGAATAACAAAGCTTTATCTTGCTATTACTCGTCTGCATATTGTTGCCGTCATTACCAGGATTTTATAAAGCTAAAAATTACCTGCTTCTTCTTGTTGAAAAATTTAGAAAATTCTTGTGTTTTATTATTGTGGTTCTTATTGTTTCGTTTTTTATACTTTTTACAAAACCTATTTTTTCAAAATACTATTTTTCAGCGCAAACATAATAAGTTATTGAAATTGTCTCAACCCAGTGAAGAAACGGTAAAATTAGAACTCTTGTGTTTTTGTGCTCGTTTCGTTATGTTGGATCGTAATATTTTATATTAGATCTTGTTGTTGTGTTTTTATATTTTCTTATTCTATGGAGTCCCCATTACTAATTGGTTGAAACTTCAAATGCCCTAACATTTCGCTATTTGTTTTTGTAACCACTGCTGTTGAAATTGTTGTTTCGTATTCTATCTGAAAGTCAATTGATCTTTATAATTTGTGTATGTGCTTTATTTTCTTTAGAAATTGTCATGATATTTCATTTGGAATGGAATTATGTTATTAATAGTTTTTATTACTAAAAAAATAACAATGATATTAAAATTTAGAGTTTGCAAGAGAAACGATTAAAACAACTATATCATTCCCCAAAGCTTACATTACATCAAATGTTATCTCATGACAATGAACATCTTATTGCTTGTAATTTGTTTAAGTTAGTTTCAGACCTATGTTTTTTTTAAGTACATAAGTAATGAGTCAAGTTCACCTTTTCTTATATTACCGTTGATAAATTTACTGCCAGTCTAAATTTGGTCATAGGTGTTAAAAATTCTATAGAGTTCATCCGTGGGCCAAAAAAAAATAAGCTGTGGAAAGTTTGGTCTCAGTCGGACAATAAATGCTACCTTTACTTTGAATCCACAAACATAGGCAGAAAGACGGTCGGAAATGCATAGAACAATTCAAAGTGTGATCCTATGGATTTCTCTTTTCCGTAGAGTACAAAAATGGGCAGAATGCCAAAATGTACCAAAACCAACTTCAACTTCTGCTCAGTGTAGAACAGTATTTCTTTAATATTAGAATCTCAATCCTATGCTGTGGCTTTAAGTATATATTTACAGGGTGATATAAAAAACCGCAGCAAAGTCAAACGCAATAATTTTTACATTTTTTAAATTGTATTGAATGAAAGCAAAAAATGTCGGAAATAGCATCAATTTTAGAATAAGTTTATACTTGTTCGTATTGGTCACCTTTGCAAGAATTATGGCCTTCGAACGGCTAATGAAACCGTCACAAGCTGCCCGAATGTTACTCTGCGTAATTTTGACCCATTCCCGGCGAAGCGCTTGCTTGAGGTTATTGACACTTTGGTACTTTTTAGTGCCAACCTTGCATTCCTAAATGCTCCGGACACAAAGTCCTACGGATTGGTATCCGGAGATTTTGGTGGCCATTGTGCGCTGGAAATGAAGCGAGGAACCTCATTTTGTGCCCATTCTTAAGTGGCGCGTGCTGAAGGCGAAGTTGCTGAGTCCTATTGGAATGACCAGGTTCTGCGTCCAAATTTTTGCGTGCCCAAGGCTTTTATACAAACTCCAGAATATTTTCGCGATAATATTCGGCATTTATTCTGATGCCACGGTCGATTAATATGAGCGGAGAGCGACCATCGGCTGTTATGGCGGCCCAAACCATCACCATGGCCGGCGCTTGAGTTCTGGTGGCCAACCGAAGATTCACATTTTCAGCTGACCTCTTTGGCAAGTAAACACGATCATTTTGTTTGTTTACAAACTGCTGGACAACGAGCGTTTTCTCAATGGAATTACAATGGCTTTACCCCGAGCTCATTTTTCAATATTTGTCGAATGGAATATTGGGACATGTTCAGCTCATGAGCCTTTTTCGACCACTGCGACGTTTCGATCAAGTCGCTTCTTTACTTTTCAAACCATTTCTGCTGATGTTGCTGTTTTCTTCCGTCCACTTCCTTGACTTCAGGCTACGCTGCCAGTATCACGGTAACGAGCGATGGTACGAAACACAAAAGATTTATTCACATTTAAATGCTGGAGTGCTCTAACAATAGCCACTTGTGGTTTTCCAGCCCAATATATAAAAATATCACACTGTAGCATTGAATTCCATCACGAATAACTTTTTTTTCTGTACAATTCTCACCAAAATGTTTTTGTACGCTTGTGAACAATATAATGAGCTGTCACTGGAATAATTTTAACAGCTGTCGGACGAGTGGCTTAGAAATTACAACAGTCTGAAGTTTGTTGCAGTTTTTTTTATCTCACCCTGTATATGTAATTTTTAGATGTATCACATTTTAGTTTCTCATACGTATATGGCGTTTTAATGCATTATTTCTTCAATATCGGATTTCAAATCTGGAACAATCTTATAATATGCATTGACCAATAATACTTTTTGAACCGAGAGGTTTGTACATACTATAAGTCTTCTTTCCGTAAAATATCTCTTTAAGTTTCTAACTTTCTAGAAAGAATTCTTGTTAACCTAATCTAAATAAATGTTATAAATAAAATGCTTATGTAGATCTGTTGCACCAGGAAATAGCCACCAGGTTCTAAGGCGTTGACTAAAATATAAATTGTTGTTTTGTTCTACAAATATTATTACTTTTGTTGTTCTTACAATGTCAGGTAACAATTATTCTTGTTGTTTCCAAATTTTGATTTGCTGCACTTCATTAGAATAAATCTGTCAAAGTCTTAAGGCAATCACATGCAAACATCTCCTAGCGAGCATTTTATGAAAGTACAAATCCTAACTAAAACACTAATTGGTTTTTCTTTCAGATCAAGCTTAAATTTTATGACATCATCAAAATTTAAATTAATATTGAATTTTCGAACAAAACGGGGCTGTATATCCTTAGCTAAAATGCAAAAAAGCATAACTAACAAAAACATAATTGCGTAGGAGAAGCAAAAAAAAACTTTTTTAAATGTAAACTTTAAACATGTCCAATGAAGGTTCTTCCAAGTTAATAAAATTGCCTTTTTTGATCGCAGACGTGTAAAATTCTGTCAAGACAAGTAATTTAATGACATTCACAATATTCTTTCAAAAACTCAATTTTCAATTTCTTGTTAGTTCCGTCTTTTTGCATTTCACGATAACGATATCTAAACCAAATTCGAATTCGAATTTAGATTTGACATCTCCCCAAAATGTTGTAGATAAGGAGTTGACGAAAATATGTAGAGATTATCATGCATTTAATGCTTCTATATTTACTAAACAATTTACAGCCACATATCTCAAAATGTTAAATTTGTTTTAATTTTGAGTTTGAAAAAATATTGGCTTAAATATGGTACAAAACTCCAAACATTCCATTGTTGTAAAATGAATCTAGCTTGTTGTCTCAGGTTTATCTTTGAACAATCATTTGATTAAAATATCAAGAAGGATGTAAAACTTCAAATAAAAGAACAAACAGTGTTTGATATTCCTGTTGAAAAAAACATGCCAAAATACATAAGCAAAGGCTATAAATTAATATATCAAAAAACCTCCTTAGATTCAAATACATTTTAATCGATTATTTGAAATAATGTCATACTGTACTGCACAAATCATGGTAGAATGAAAATGGTAGTCATGCAATTATATGTTTACAATTTTTTCAAAGTTATTTAATTGACAACATCTCATTGTCAAAATTTACGTTTATAAATCCATTGTATATACACAAATCAGAGATGGGAGCCTGCTTTCCATACAGTAAAATTTGACAAGCAAAATGATTACAAATTAACATGGACGGACGGACGTCTTGCTCATCTAAATTTGCAAATCATTTTTATTCGAAGTGGAAAGAAAATCTGGTTAGAAATAAGAACGAAAGGTTTCTGTACAAGGCGACAAAATACTTTTTTTATTGGCCATGAATAGCGCAGAGATTTATATAGGCAATAATATTTAATGATATTTATCGCAAACTATCAACAGTTTATCGTTCAATTTATGGAGCTATTAAACGGACACGCAGACACATACAAATACTCTGTATCATTATTTCCCCCTTTACGTCCACAACAATGTCACAAGCAAATTCATTCAATAAAACAAAAGTGGGAACAGAATGAAACAAAAAATAAATAAATAAACAAAATTTATACACATCAAAACCCGACATTACAAAATTATATTGTTCCGATTGTTGTTATTTACAAGTTTAATCTCTACCCTCATTGAAGTTGCTGCGCTTCATGGAGAATTGTGTGTTTTGTTACAACCAAACAAATAAACACAATTGAATTATTAATCATTATTTGCCCATCATCAATCAACTACTTAATTTTCTAATCGTTAATGTATGCGTTCTTTTTTTGTGGCTGTCTGCTTGTATGCCTTTTCTATTTTGTTTCTTCCTCCCCTTTTTTACAATAACTTATCGGGAAATTTAACTCAAAAAATTAACTCTTTTTCCCATGAATCGCCGTTGTTGTCGTCGTCTTGGTCGTCGTAGAATGTCCAATTGAATTTACAAGCTATTTAAAATTATATTTCGTTTGTTTTGCTTCTCTTCTGCTTCTATTCTACTTCTAGCTTATGAATCAATCAACCAATTACACCGAATATGAGTCATGGAACACTGATATGGATTCCTCAGGCGGCGGCCTAGACCATTCAGCCGAATCAAATTTATCATCGAGTGATAACGATCGTATTAATTCGTCGCCCGATAATCTCCTTAAGGGTCCATGCAGTAGTAGTGGTGTTGGTGGAGGCGGTTGCGGTGGCCTTAGTATTTGTGGCGGTAGTTCAAGTGGTTCCGGAGTTAGTGGCAGTGTACTGACAGCAACAACTGGAGGAAATAAATATAACTATGTAAGTATTTCAAATGCATGGATTACTATACTTTTGTTCTGTTTGTATTTTTTAAATGAAAAAAAGAAAAATTTTTAGAATACAAGAAGAAATGTTCATTAGAGTTAAACCAGATATAAATTCTTAAAGGATTTCAGTAACGTAAAGGTCTTCTAAATATATTTGAAATATAGAACACCTTTTAAATATTTCAATTGAAAGTAGTCGATATTTCTCAAATAGGCAGGAAACTCATTTGATCCCTTCCAGCATTGTTTGTCTTAATGTCATTTTTATTTTTTTCTTATACTTGCAGGCTGGTCATCGCCGTTGTCGTGCCTTATACGATTGCTCTGCCGACAATGATGATGAATTGGAATTCAAGGAGGGCGAAGTCCTCATTGTACTCAACGAACGAACAGATGATGAAAATTGGATGGAGGGTGTTATCGAAGGTGATCCATCGCGTCGTGGCATGTTTCCCGTAAGTTTCGTCCATATGTTACCCGATTAAAAAACCAAACATGAAACATACAAAACAAATGGGTAGTATAGTATTAATTTGTAATCATAACAAACAAACAACAACAAAAATACCATTGAACTTTGTAAATGTAGTAGATGATATAATAATAATTAATCTTAATAATAATGATATATAGTAAAGGTAGATTTAAAAAAAGAAAAAAAAAAACAAAACGAAAACACAACAATAACACAAAACAAACGTTACAAATCTCTTTATGACAAACGCAAAACAAGAAATATAACAAAATATAAAACAAGCAGAAGGTAATGTTGTATTTAGCCGACGATAATAGTAGATCTTTTGAAAAAGAAAATGAAAAATTCAGAACAAAGCATATTACATTAAAAAAATTATTATAAAAACAACAAAAGTGTTGTTCCGCTCCAAAATTTAACTCAAGGTTATTTGTATTTGTGTAACATCGTACATACATAACCCAACAAAAATATTGCCGAATAAAATATTTAATAAAAATTTAGAAATGTTTCATATAACAAAACACACATAAACTAAAAACAATATAAAAAAAAAAACAGATCAACAACAGAAAGAAACACACAAACGTATTATAAAATGTAATTATTACTATTAGTGTAACTACTATTATTATTAATAATAATGAAAAAAATAATATTTAATAAAACAACAAGTTATATCCTTAAAAATACAAGAAACAAATTAAATTATAATGAAAAAAAGAATTAATTGAAAATCAACAAAATAATCAAATTGTTGCAACGTTTAGAAACTATTTTAGCTAAAAAACTCAAGAAAGGCTTTTATCTATAGAGATTTGACCCATAGAAGTCGAGAAGGATATATGTTGGAACCGATGAAATATATTTTAAAATACAAGGATTATAGATCTTCCCTCTTGAAATGATACATACGATTTTTCTTCCATAGACGATCTACGGAATACATTCACAGTTTATTGTCATTTGAGCTTTTTATCACTTTGACCAAAACTTCCGACGATAGGTCCTCACATTCTTTACGGATATTGACTTTAAAAGCTGAAGGAGTCTGAGGCTTGTTGACAAATACCTGCGGCTTCAAAAAGCCCCACAAAAAGAAGTCTGGAGCGGTCAAATCAGGCGATCTCGCATCCCGGGAAATGCGTCCATCCAATCGATATGCTGATCGCGGCACGTGCAATGTGTGCCATTTGCACCGCCCTTTTGGGACCACATGTTTTCCAATCCCAACTAAAGAAGTTGCGGCAAAAAGAAGTCGTTGATCATTGCTTTGTAGCGCTCACCATTCACAGTAACCGTGTGGCCCGCGACGTCTTCGAAGAAAAAATGTTTGATGACTCCTCCAGCGAAAACATACAGTGACTTTGAGCGGGTGTAATGACTCTTCGTGGGTTACACGCAGATTTTCAGTGCCCCAGAAGCGTGAAGTTAGCTTATTTACGTAACGCTAAGATGGAAATGGGTCTCATCACTCATGATTAAACTGACAGGGCTTGGCTTTTCGGCTTTTTGGTATTCGGTTTTAGAACCTTGGAAAAGTGTTCAGAATTTTGTGCATTTTCAAGTCTCGATAAGAGCTGTCAAGCTCAAGGATAGAAATTTAAGCTGACTATATGATGATAAAGAATATTGCCGATTATGCGAGACCACTCTACTGTTACCCTCGGTTTTCAGATCGAAGACAAAATGCCTTCATTAAGAAAAATATTTTTTCCATGTTCACTTTTGGTATAATCCCAATATAATGTTATATTGATTCAAAGTTTCCTAGAACTTATTAACAAAGTCCAAATCTTTAAACATGTTTTCGAAAACTTGACAGATGTTTAAAACTCCCTTTCCCAGGACCTTAGATCATGCGTTGCACAGCTTACATTTTTATCAAAGAAAGAGAGAAACAAAAACATATATATCACCTGCAACTACATTTATTAAAATCTACTACTATTTTTTTGTATATAATACCCGCTGTAAAGTATTTTTTATTATAATTTGTATTAAAAACAAAACCAATCTCCGTGATTTCCTTATCATTTAACAATTAGACTCTTGAGTATTGTAAAAAACGTATTGCTTTTTTAATAAGTATTTGTTTGAACAAGATGGAAAAACAAACTGAAAAAGTAAATACTTAACCTCACCTATTATTATCATTATTACTATTATTTTAGAAAAAACCAACCAACAACTACACAAACAAAAACACTTCTTCCTATGTAATTAATGTTACAAAAAATGCTATTGCTTATTAGATTAAAACATAATTATGTATATTGTATTATTTATGTATAAATAATTTTTTATATTTTTATTTAATCGAACAACTAAAAACAAATCTATAAATTTGGAATTGCTCTAATAACAAGAATTGATGATAATAATATTGTGTAGTTATATATATAAACGTAAAAAAACAAACAAAATGTTATAGTAATCCTCGTGTTTCGGGTGAAAGTGAAAGTTCGAATAGTAGCAAGTATCCTATTTGTTGTATGTATGTCTATGAATTTAAATTCCCTCTAAAAACGATAATGAAATTGTAGCGAATGTTGATGGCCAGATTGTTTTTAATTCACCCTTTTTTCTGTAATAATTAGATTTGTTTTTTACTTAAGTTCCAAGAAAACAGTAAATACATATAGATATATATTTAAATATAACATTAAGACAAATAAAAGAATCACACACTCACCTATACATATATTCTTCAAGAAAAAATTCAATCCCCTTTTTGTTTGATTTTTAACACATAAGTCTTGATAGTTTAAGTGCAAAATATGACTTATTTTATGACCCTCTTTGTCTCTAAAACTTCATAAAACTAACTGTGGGAATTTTAAATTGGTTGTACTCAAACATATCTGTTTATTAGTGGGGAATAATTATTATTATTTTTTTTTTTTTGCAAAGTTTCTACATAGGTCCATGTTGTTGGGTTCCTCAGATAAAAAATATGAAAATTTCTAATCACTTTATTGTTAACGCATTTCATTGCAATTTAGAAATGTGTATTTAAAATGATTAGAAAAGTTTTTGTTAGAAAAATGTTTGTATTTAAAATATTCGCTCTTTTTTATTTCCATGTGACTTAATATTTAGGAATTACGTTGTTGCAAAATAGTCAGGCATAATCCCATTATTGTTGTTTTTATAAAAACGACGAGAAAGATGTTAATGATTACCAGGGGCAGGGAATACCTGGCAGGGGAGGCAGGGAATGCCTAGGCTTCGGAAAGATCCACCAATCCTCATCAGTTCAATAATAACAATAAGAAAAAGAAAAACAAAAACATATACATATATCCGCTATTATATTTTACAGAACTTTCAACCCCAGAATTGTTACGCAACACGGAATAAATATGGGGTTGAAAGTTCTTTCGCAAATATATTATAAAGAATGTAGGAAAATGGAATTCAATTTGCTTATTGCTATGGATGTAAGATTTCCTTCCCTGGTCATATTTATGGCGAGAACCAAACGTGAGTGGTTGCCTCCTTCTGTCCGAAATTGCAGTGCGATGGAATGGCGCCTGAAAATCTAACGAATGTGCTAGGAGCAATAAAGAGGGATGTAGGAAACGGCTCCAAATACATAATAGTGAACGGCGTATTATTTTTTTAGAGAGCTTTGTCCGCCTTATTTTAAGGTTTAGCGAAGACAAGACCTTCATAATGGTTCTTGCACTTTTTGGAATTTCAACGGCTTTACCCCGAGCCCATTTTTCAATATTTGCCGAATGGAATATTGCGATATGTTCAGCTCACGAGACATTTCGAGGCGGGTTTCGATCAAGTCGCTTCTTTACTTTTCGAACCATTTCTGCAGATGTTGCTGTTTTCTTCCGTCCACTTCCTTGGCGTCGGGCAATCTTATGTATGTACAGGGTGAGATAAAAAACTGCAATAATGTCGAACGCCATAATTTTAGCATTTTTTTAAATGTTATTGAATGAAAGCAAACAATGTCGGAAATAGCATAAAATTTTAGAATAAGTTTAGAATTGTTCGTACTGGTCACATTTGGCACGAATTATGGCTTTCAAACGACCAATGAAACCGTCACACGCTTCCCGAATGTTGCTCTGAGGTATTTTGGGCCATTCCCGGCGAAGCGCTTGCTTGAGGTGATCGACACTTTGGTATTTTTTAATGCCAACCTTGTTTTCCAAAATACTCCAGACACAATAGTTCAACGGATTGGTATCCGGAGATTTTGGTGGCCATTGTGCGCTGGAAATGAAGCGAGGAACCTCATTTTGTAACCATTCTTGGGTGGTGCGTGCCGAGTGCGATGGTTCTGAGTCCTGTTGGAATGTCCAAGGTCTGCGGCCAAAATTTAATACACCCTTCAGAATATTTTCGCGATAATATTCGGCATTTATTCTGATGCCGCGGTCGATTAATACGAGAGGAGAGCGACCATCGGCTGTTATGGCAGCCCACACCATCACCATGGCCGGCGCATGAGTTCTGGTGGCCAACCGAAGATTCACATTTTCAGCTGACCTCTTTGGCAAGTAAACACGATCATTTTGTTTGTTTACAAATTACTGGAGAACGAATGTTTTCTCATCGGAGAAAACCAAATTCGACAGTTCACCACTTTCGATCAAGTGAAGCAACTCTTTAGCTCTATTGAGTCTATTTTCTTTCTGTTGCGGTGTAAATTCTTGCACATTTTGGAGTTTCAACGGCTTTACCCCGAGCTCATGGAATGTTGCGATATGTTCAGCTCACGAGTCATTTTTTGGCCACTGCGAAGCGGGTTTCGATCAAGTCGCTTCTTTACTTTTCGAACCATTTCTGCTGATGTTGCTGTTTTCTTCCGTCCACTTCCTTGACGTCGGGCTACGATACCAGTAGCACGGTAACAAGCGATGGTACAAGATACAAACGATTCATTCACATTTAAATGCTGGAGATCTCTTATCGTCTATTCTACCCGCTAAATATTATCCGATGACCACCAAATTGGTAGGCTTCTATCCAGTCCTAAACTCTAACTCCATGCTAAATTCCGCGTTGATTGGTCTATAATTGAGGCCTGTAGAGCAACAGAAGAATTAAGAATTGTTTCTGTTTTAGTGCATTTTAACCCCTAAATATTTTGCGATCATCTCCAAAAACAATAGGGTTCTATTCTGACCGTATCCCCACCTCCATTTTCAATTTCGTCGGCGAGCTAGGAATATCCAGATATAGGTGTTACATAATTTTGACCCCAATCAAACTTATAATACCCCCAACACATAGTGTTGTAGGATAAAATAAAATATTTGCATCGATGTTCCAAAGAAAATAGAAAATAATTCCTTTCCCTTTAAATAAATTTTTGTTTGGTCTATTTTCGAGTTGACGCCTGAAAGAAAAAAGTCGTTTTAGGCAGAAGGTCTCAAAAAGATAAATATTGATATCTGTTGCGGACCTTGAGTACTGTGTTCTCTGATAGAAAATTATCTATATAGATAGGCCCACATTTTCGTATAGACCCTATATAACTGTGCCTAACGGTATTTGCATGATTTATCTAATATTTTTTGACGGAATTGTTGTCTTTACGAAATCGAATCACCTTTTTCTATACATATACAAAATGCACTGACATTTAATTTACTGGAAAAATATTCAAAACAAAGCAAAAAAATTTATATTTTTAAATAAAAAACAAGTATGAATACATTTTTATTTATTCCATTTACCTCAAAAATTGTTTATAATTATTATAAAGAAATAACAAAACAATAAATTAAGAAAAAAAAACATAACAAAAATTAAATTAATTTACATATTTGTAATTTATTTACAAAATTGTAATTTATTTAGCTTACATTGAACTCTCTTCATATGTTGTTCAGGTTGTTCTTACAGTTGTAGGGGTTAGTCCAAGAGCTCTTCCTACATTAACAGCATTTTCTCACGATTTAATATAATTCCAAACTTATTAATTTTCTTTAATTTTGACTCATTTTTTACGTCCTTAATGTACTCTGGCGAATCACATATAAATTCTTACCACAACCAGACAGTTGCTCTTAGCACCACAGGCACTGCAAATGCAAAAAATAGTAATCCACAATGTAGCTCGGACCGACGCACAGAGTGGTGAAATCACAAAACACTGAGATTAATTCAAAAATGAAATTCGTCTTTTGGAATAAATGTTTTTAAACTATTATAGAACTCTAAATTCTACTTCAGTACCGTAATTTCAAATGCATACGTTGTTTAGTTTTTTAATTACACAGTGGCAAAGTTAAGAAATATTTCACTTTTTCGCAAGAAGAAGGAAAAAAATTGTCTTTGGTTTTTTTTGAAGTACAATAATTTAGTTTTTTTCATCAAAAGCTATTATTTTAAAAATGAAACATCGAATACAAGTAGTTATCAGTGTTTTAGAATAAAAATAGTTTTAAAAATAATGATTAAAAAATATTTTAAAAATAAATTTAAAATATTACCATATTTTCGCCATATGTGGAGTTTTGAAAAATAATATCGAGAAGGTCTTAAAATTTTAATTTTGTATTTTAGTATGGAATGTCATCTTTCATAATCAACAAAAAACTCGTGCCCTTTTTTGCCGTTTTTGTTTAATTTAAAAAATGGTGAAAATAGTCAACTGATTTTGCGGTGAATGTACTTTGATCTTGTTCTCTGTTTTTTTTTTGTCTTTCGAAAGAAGTTTCTCTTGGGGTTTTATCCTGTTATTGACTTGAATTATAAACTATGTATACTATATACTATACATAAAAGTATTTCAGTCTCTTTAAAAAATCAGTGGTGAGTGAGTTCTCCCTCAATTTTGTCTGATGATCCTATTAAAGACAATAAGAGAGATGTAAGGAAGGATAATAAGGATGATTTTTTAAATGTCAGTCACTTATATTTTTTCTAAATATATTATAAGGTTTTAGTCTATTTCAGATAGGAAGGCTTAATTGCCAGCCAATTTTGTATATATATTTCTTTATAATTATTCCTTTCCTTATAAAAATATGTAGTATTTTTGTCTTCAGATTTAGAAGGTTTTACAAAGGATAAATTATTTTTTCTCGCTTATCTGAAATTTTGGATTTATATACGTAATAGTGGATTTATCTTCACAAAATTTAGCAGGGAGAGATTTTGTCCGCTCAGAACTCAAAATGTCAAGATACTCATGATTGCGTTTGAAATTATGACCGAAACCTTCAAAATACCAAAAAATCAGGAAGTGACGCTATATGGGGGCCTTACCGAAACGTGGGCCGATATGTCCCATTTTTTATGCCAAACATATTAGAGGTAATATGAATGTCTGAGCAAAATTTCAGAGCGAATTAATCTCCGGTTTTGGGCATCTCACCCCACTGTGCGACGCAACTTGAAATTGCAACGACGCAAATCGATTTAAACGTTTATCAACCAACGTGGGATATTACAGTACTTTAGAAGTTTATGACGTTTTATACTTTTCTATGTTTTATACACGTATATAACGTTTACAACTTTTCGACAGTCCAAAACCCAAAAAACTGTCAAACAGACCATCTCTGAACCCGATATCACGTTTTTTTTTGGTTTTAGCAAAGTTTTTCTACGCAATTTTCTCAAAATTGGTATTTAGAGTAAACAATAGGCCTTCTCTGGGAGATAATTGGCTTTCACATAGCCCCCATATAACAGTATCACCCGATATTCGGTATTTTGATAAATATAGAGACATTTTTTTAACGAAATTTTTTTACATATTGCAATTTTATTTCTTAATATTGGAGGGTATTAAAAGTTCTTCGCTTAGCTGATTCTTTACTTGTATTTTCTAAAATTGTTCGCTCTAACAAAAAATGTTTACGAAATATGGAGTTGGATTCCCGTCATTATTATTATTTTTTTTTTGTAAATATTAATTCCTACATACATTTATAGAGGTCAAATTTTTAATTTTTTTCTGAAATCAGCAGCGCATGGTCTGTTCCAATTATTGCAGGAAGAATCTAGGCCACTTTTTGTTGTGGGTCCCGTTTAAAGCAAAGTTCATTTCATTCGAAATCAATGAACTGAGTTTGGCTTGGAAATGAACAACACGTGTAGATGGGTTATTGTTGTTGTGTGTTTTTTCATTATAAATAAAAAATACAGTGCAACAACCTTAATTTGAATATTGATGGACCAATTTCCTCGAGGAAATTTTCGCATAAATGACATAAAAATTGCACTACTACGAAGTTTGTCTCAATTTATTGGTTTGGCACCTCCCTGGGTTCCACTGTATGTGTTTTCGAAAAGTTGTCCAATAAATTAATTATTAAATAAATACGATTGTTGTATTTTTTTTTTTGACGGCGTTCGTTCGATCGTTGGTTCGTTACTCTTGACTTGTTTACCTAGATTTTGAGAAGACAGAAATCAAGAAAAATACAAAGAAAAAATCGCCAGAAAAAACATTCGAATTGGAATCGTGTGCGATGACGAATTCTAAAATTATCAAATATTGATTTTACGTCAAAAACTCGTTTCTCACTCTCAGTTCAATACTCAATTCCCATTTGGATGGTAACAGACAGCTTCTGTTGTGGTTGGATACAAAGATGGATTGGTTAAAAAAAAACATCATCAACATAACAATAAATTTCTAAACTAAATGTGAATATAATTATCTAGAGCTGCCATAAATTATTTATTTTCTAATAACAAAAAGCCACACTTAAAACAATAAAAAAAACAAATCACAAGCCAATAATAAATTAATAAAACAAACTAAAAATAAACAAAACAATAAAATAAATCAAAAACGAAAGAAATTCCCCGTTTAAATGGAAAAAACATAACTTTGTTGACCACAAAACAAAAAAAAAAAAAAAAAACAAAATTCCAAAAAAAAAAAACAACTACAAATACTCTTTAAGACAAAATGTTTGTAAAACATGTTTAGTAGTATTATTATTTTATACATTTTATTTATTTTTTGTTTTAAGCGAAAAAAACAACAAATCGAAAAAAATAAAAAAGTCCTAAATCAATTGTTTGTTAATCCTGCTTATCAAGGATAGTTATCACAAAAGAAAACAACAACAAAACAAAAAACGCTTTTCAAATATCTATAGAGAATCGGAAAAGAGATTATACGATGCGTTACAATCTTTATATAACTATTATATTTAGAGTGTTATTTTAACGAAAAAGAAGAACAAATTATCAAAAAATAAATAAATAAAATAAAACATTCTACACTTTGCTAAGTACCTCAGAAAATAAAAAAGATATATAATTATATAAAACTATTATATACAAAATAAATGTAAAATATTCATAATTTATCTGATAATAAAAATGAAGTATATAAACAACTCAAAAAATATAAATATATTCTTTCTAACAAGTGTTGTGGGAAAAGTCATTTGGCTCTAAATGAGTGCGAGAGTAACAAGTTTTTTGTCAATAATCCGAAACGGATTTTTTGAAAGAAATGAATGTTATATTCGTTTTAGAGAAAAATTTGAGTTACGTTTGGCCTTGTCGAACTTTTCGAACCCTTCACCATGTGCAAACATAAATCAAAGCATGTAAGCATATCCCTGAAATTTGGGCATAGAGTTACATTTTTTACCGAAAAGTTTTCTACCATTCCATTACCAAATAATAAGTTTCCCAACCAATTTCTGGTAGTCATAACCAATCATCATGAAATGGAGGGTATATTAATTTTGTCATTCCGTTTGTAACATCCTAAATATTCGCCTAGACCCCATAAAGTATATACAGGTTGAGATAAAAACACTGCAACAAAGTCAAACGTCATAACTTTTATATATTTTTTTTAATTGTTTTAAATTATTTTTTTTATTGAATGAAAGCAAAAAATGTCGGAAATAGCATGAAATTTTAGAATAAGTTTAGAAGTGGTCACGAATTATGCCCTTCAAACGGTCAATGAAACCGTCACACGCTGCCCCAATGTTGCTCTGCAGTATTTTGGCCCATTCCAGGCGAAACGATTGTTTGAGGTGATCGACACTTTGGTATTTTTTAGTGCCAACCTTGCTTTCCAAAATACTCCAGACACAATAGTCCAACAGATTGGTATCAGGAGATTTTGGTGGCCATTGTGAACTGGAAATGAACTGAGTCCTGTTGGAATGACCAAGGTCTGCGGCATGCATGCCCAAGGCTTAAACACACCCTCCAGAATATTTTCACGATAATATTCGTAATTTATTCTGATGCCACGGTCGATTAATACGAGCGGAGAGCGATCATCGGCTGTTATGGCGGCCAAAATCATCACCATGGTCGGCGCTTGAGTTCTGGTGGCCAACCGAAGCTTCACATTTTCAGCTGACATCTCTGGCAAGTAAACACGATAATTTTGTTTGTTTACAAACTGCCGGACAACGAAAGTTTTCTCATCGGAGAAAACCAAATTCGGCAGTTCACCACTTTCGGACAAGCGAAGCAATTCTTTAGCTCTTTTGATTCTATTTTCTTTCTGTTGCGATGTAAGTTCTTTCACTTTTTGGAATTTCAATGGCTTAACCCCTAGCTCATTTTTTAGTATTTGTCGAATGGAATATTGCGACATGTTCAGCTAACGAGCCATTCTTCGGCCACTGCGACGCGGGTTTCGATCAAGTCGCATCTTTATTTTTCGAACCATTTCTGCTGATGTTGCTGTTTTCTGCCGTCGACTTCCTTGACGTGGCGCTACGCTACCAGTATCACGGTAACGAGGACAAGCGATTTATTCACATTTAAATGCTGAAGTGCTATAACGATATCCACTTGTGGTTTTCCAGCCGAATATAAAGAAATCACACTATCACGCTTGAATTCCATCTCAAATAACTTTTTTTCTGGAAAATTCTCACCAAAATGCTTTTCTACGCTTGTAAACAATATAATGAGCTGCCACTGGAATAATTTTAACAGCTGCCGAACGAGTGGCTGAGAAATGACAGTAGCCTGAAGTTGGATGCAGTTTTTTCATCTCAGTCTGTATATATTTAATCAGCATAAAGTCGATTTAACGATGTCTGTCTGTTGAAATCACGATACAGTCAACATTATTTGACATAGAGCTTCAAAATTTGGCAAAACAATTTGCATTGTGTCTAAGATGTTTGGTATTGAAAATGAGAAATATCGGTCCACGTTTTGATGTAGCCGCCATATAACGTTACCTCCCGATATTCAATATTTTGATGATTTTTGTCACAATTTTTTTACGGATTTGTCTAAAAATTGGTATTTGTAGTTCGCAATAGGTTCTAGCTCCGGTGGCGGAATATAGTATATATAGTTTTGGTATTTTGTTGGTATAGCCGCCACATAACGGAAACTCCAGATATTTGGTGATTTAATAATTTTTGCCACATTTTTCCAAGGATTTGTCCAATTTATAGTTCATAAAGGGTTCAAGCTCCGTTGGCAGAACATTGAATATTTAGGACTAATACTTTATCCTATAGCGCACATAAAACGATACCCACCGATACTTGGTATTTTGATAAACCAAGTCACATTTATCCACAAAATTGTTTCAAATTTGGTATTTAAGAAGACTTCCCGTTTTGGTGTGGTCCCATATAACGGACCCACCCAAATTATGTTTTTTTTTTATACGAACGGTCTTACTGGTATTTGTAGTTTAAGTGGAACTCGTTTGAGTTCAGATACTTGTATATGAAAAGATTTTCTTTACCCAATGGTGGAGGGTATTAAAAATTCGGACCGAAACTTAATATTTTTTTTTAATTGTTAAAAATGATTAAAATATGTGACACACTTGTGAATTACTCAAAGTAGTCAATGACAAAAAATACAATACACCACGCATATAAGCAGATCCTATATAGAAAAAATGGATGTAAGAAACTTTTTTCAAGACCTCAAGTATTTTCCACATCAAAATTGTTGTATATCGGCTGGTCATGCGACCAATAGGACAATAGGTCAAATTTTTAAGCACATATTCGTTTTTGTGCAGCTGTATTTCACAATTTTCTTCAGGAAGATTGTCTTTCAAAACGTCATTTGTCTCTGGGCTTACAAATAGTAGTACAACGGTGTCAGCTCTGCGGCTGATAATGTGATATTCAAAAATAAGACACAAAAAATCTAGTATAGGCTCGGCACACGTCGCCTTTTTGTTGAAACCAAATGTTTCAAATTTCCTTCCCTTCAATTTTTGTCAACGAAAATTCATTCTACGTGGTCCAATGATGTAACGGCCACTCCTTCCTCAAGAAAAATGACACAATTATGCCTCTGGACAAAATCCGCACCAAACAGTGACTCGTTTGGGTGCATCGGCTTTTCAACGTATGCGTGCGGGTTTTTTTTTTTTTGCCTCAAATACGATTACTTTGCGGTGCTTCCAATTTTCTCACATATTTCTCAACAATGTCATGATTTTCAAAGTATATCGCAATATTTACCAGCATTGTCCAAGGATATACACAACTGTATTCATTCAGAGGATAAAACTAATTATCTCTTAAATCAGACAAGAGCTAATAGTTACTGTTCCGAAATAAACACTAGTTCAGAAAGAAAATGTTATATGGCGGACCCTGTATATTTTAAGTGTGCAATCTAATATGAAGCACAAACTATTGGTCGTCCATTCATGTTCTCACTGCATAGCTTAGAAAAAGTGCATTCATATAAGAAAAACACGCATATAAGAAAAAAACTGGCAATTTTTAACGAAATTCTTATATGCATAGTATACTGCATTTATGATTTTAATTTGTTTCTAATTCGTAAACTATAAAAAGAGAGCTCACGATATCAATATATTTGCTCAATCTTTAAATTGCAAATATATTTTTGAATTTTATCCAAACGTCCTATACTCAGGATAAATCTGATGGTCTTTATGGATTTATACTGCAGAACTACATAATTACCCTTGTCTTATCTTAACAGAAAAATGTTGTATCCAGACCTCCGAAAAACTGCTCGGTTTTGCTCAAAGTGTGAAACTTGAATTCGAGCGAGTGCGCTTTTGGGAGCAGAAACAAATGGAGAAAACTCTTTTTTCGATGTCATTCGAATAGGAGTGAGCATGTTTTCCTAACTTTTGAGTAGAAGCAAAATTTCTTTAAAATCGAGCAGATTCTACTCGAACAGAGTGTCGGATGAAACTTCGGATGTCGGATGTGAATTGGGTTCGACTTCTGACCGAATGTTATATGGAGTGGTTGACCGAAGGGTCGGAGGAAAGTCTGAAGTTTTAGACGACTTTCAAACCAAAATCAGTAATAACAGTATGAAAATTTAAAGTATCATATACATTTTGTTTTCGTCAACCTTTGAACACTAATTGACAAACGCTTTGTTTTCCCGACTGCAAGACAACACATTTATTTTAACCACAACGTATAAGCACAAAAAAACTCTCAAAAAACTCTCTAAAGAGAGAGAGGGAAACGCAGAAACCAAAAAAATCCCTCAGACAAATTGCTCAGGAATCGGACCTACGTCGGTCCGAGGAGTCGGACAAAACTTCAGACTCTGAACAGATGTGTCGAACGTCCGACATTTGGTTCGCTGGGCAGTTGCAAAATGAACCCCCTGCCTCCCTCCCTTCAAAGTTCACAGCAACATCAATTTTGGTTTGCTGTTGCACACACAAATCGCCAATCAAATTTTCACTCTTAGAGCAAACTGTTGATCTATTTTGAGTGAAGAGTAGACTCTTTAAAAAATCTTCCCCCTTTTTAAGCAATCCTGCTCTCGAGAGAAAATGAGCACATCTGAGCATTGGTTACATCTAGTTTAAGGGAATTTAAAATTTACTCATTCGCCCCAGGCCTCGGCGGCGTTCCAACCGATATCCTAGAATCTTGTGCTAGTTCACCTCTTACA